TTTTTTTTTTTTATTCATATGCCAATAAAAACAACGGGAAATGCTAAGGTCCCGTTACGGAACTAATTCGTCGGAGTTTGTAACCATTAAATTATCTTGTAGCCGTCAAAGATAGTTGATTTAACTGTTACAAACCCCGACAGAATGAGTCCGTAACGGGACCGTAGCATCTTCCAAAAACGATGTTGGAATATCACTTGTGAGTTGTCCCACATTGATTCTATAGGAAAAATGAGTCTAGTATATAAGGCTAGTGGGCTACTCCTCCCATCACCAATTGATTTTGGGATGAAATCTCATTAAGGTGCATCTAGACTCACCCTCTTATGGTGCGCTTCATCTGGTGGGACTGTACTCTCTTCCCCAAGTTCTAATGTGGTATCAGAGCGGGTCTGTCCTAGGACCTGCACTTACGAGGGACTCACAAGTGAGGGGGCGTGACCTTCTGTCCTAGGACTTGCAATGACTCTCTTTACTTGGCCTGCTATGTGGGACTTTCTCTCTATGTGGGCTTGGACTTACTAATGACTCACAAGTGAGGGGCGTGCGGGCCTATCCTAGGACCTGCAATGACTCTCTTTACCCAGCCTGCTATGTGAGACTCTCTCTACCCGACCTGCTATGTGAGCTTCGACTTACGAAGGAATCACAAGTGAGGGGCGCGTTGTGAGTTGTCCCACATTGATTCTATAGGGAAAATGAGTAAATTATATAAGCCTAGTGGGTCTCTCACCAATTAATTTTGGGATGAAACCTTATGAAGGTGCATCTAGACTCACCATCTTATAGTGCACTTCATCTAGTAGTACTGCACTCTTTTCCCCGAGTTCTAATAAACGACAAGCCATGATTCTATAATGCGCTTTCTTTTTTATCCAAACATTTTTATTAGATTCCAATGCACTCAAACACACAAGTTCTCATTTAAATTAATTCGTGTTCTTGCGGTTTGCCAGGCGTACTTTTCTAGAACTTAGAAATTAGTCCCATTGGTACGGCTATTATTGTTGAAATTTATAATTAATTAATTTATTTTTTTTTTTTAATTCCAGGAGATTATGAAAAATAAAGTACTCAAAAATTAGAACTTTTCATTTGACTTATTTATTTAATTCCGGAGAGGATATTGAAATAAAGATATTTTAAAAATTAAGAATAAATTTTAAGAGAAGCATTGATATGCAATAAAAGTATGTTAGGTCTAATTGATAGTGTTGTATTAATGTTGTCATGATGTTGATATAAATAGTTATATCCTCTTATTTGCTTTTATATTTTGAAGTTATAATAAATTTAGTATATCAATTGTTAATTAATACTAGTAGTTAGTATCAAGCAAAAATCACCTTTATATATAATTAGTACCACTGAAATTGTTTCTAAGAATAAATAATTTTACGTACGATTTTTTCACTTTATACGTGATTCTGACCTTTTAATAATAATAACAATAATAATAATAATATTAATAATAATAATAATAATAATAATAATAATAATAATAATAATAATAATAAAAGATTAAAAATACCAAAACTATATGTTGTGTTGTGTTAACCATACACTAGTGCACATGTCAGCCAGCAATGAATAATGAATTCAATCTTCCTCTTCAAATCTAAAAAAAATAAAGTCAGAAATTAGCTCATTACTACTTGGAAATTTATATCATTTCAACTATCCACTCAGCCCCACACCCTTGAAAATTTTTGTCATGATCTTTGACAATTGTGATTGAAAAAAAAAATATGATATTCAAAATTCAACATTTCCATACTATTGTTATAATTATTAATTTATTATTGCCTTTTAATTTATTATTTTCATACGATCTCACGCTGATGAAACACACAAAGACAGAAAAATCTCAGAGGAAACTCAAATAAGATTTCATCCCAAAATTAATTGGTAGAGGAGTAAGTCATTAGACTTGTAAATTAGGCTTATTTTTCTTTTATAAACGATGTGAGACAACTAACAAGTGAAAATTCTAATAATTTCAAAAGTATAGATTAACAAACAACATCAATTATTATTATTATTATTATTATTATTATTATTATTATTATTATTATTATTATTATTATTATTATTATTATTATTATTATTATTATTTCATTCATCTATTTATGATAGTGGGTAGGGTAGAGTTCCTGTAGTCAGTCACTTGGGTTGGAGTTTTTAATATAACAACAAAATAATCTTTTAAAGTGTCAAATATGTACCGCAGAAAGATAATAAAATATTCATACTTCCAAAGGATTCTCGTGTATAGTATAGAATAAAATGGAATTAATTTCACTTCTCTCTCTTTTTTTTCCCCTTAAATTTCTTAATAATATTTATCTAAACCTAATTGCGAAACATGAAATAAATATAAGTGCAAATATGTCACTTATTAGATTTAAAACTTTCGAGAATTATACACAGAGATGTATAATGTATATAATTATAAAAACTTATGATGTGAGAATCATAAAAACTGGTATATAATAATTTTTAATTGTTTTTGTAATACTAAATCTTATATCATACAATATAGTTTTGCTATAGAGACATTGTATGACAAACTTATGGAGTCATCCAAAATTTTGTTGTTTCTTATCTTTGTTGTTATTATTTGCTCAATTTATTCATACACATGAAATTTATTAATTGTTTTAATTGAAATAACGGTTTTTACATATATCTTTCAATAACTATAAATTAAAGAGTTACCAAAAGTCATCTTGGTGATTAGCAACTATCATATATCCATAGATTAGCTCAATTCTCAAACAAAGCATTCATGAATAAAATTATGTCCCCCACCCCACCTAAACAGATGCAAGGATAAGGAAATACGATTAAATAGAAATAATTATTAAGGGTACAAAACAAAACAGAACTGTATCCAACCTAACCCATCACAAGAAAACAGACTTATTTTGAAGAGGTGTACAGACTACAGAGAGTTGCACACTGCCATGGAAGTTCTGGAGATGCTAAATTTGAGTTGTAGTGAGAGAAAGTAATAAACTTTTGCCCTCTTTTGGTAGTGGCCGTCGTTTTTATATCTCTTTCTGCACATCCTCTCACACACACACACATACGCAGATGTACGCAAGAATATCAAATTATACCAGCATGATAATATGTACAAGGCGTGTTGAAATTGTTCCTCAAGACTGAGCCTTTCTTGCTTCTAAGAATTATCTCAAGTGTGTGGTAGTGTAGTCAATCAACCCTTTTCTCTTTTTAACCCTTTTTTCGTGTTGGGTCGTGAGTTTTGGTGAAAAAGTTTCGATTTTTAACGCGGGGTAAGAAATTTGGGTGCTTTACTTTTATTGTTCTGACCTTGGAACGTCGAATTCGTGAAGCTCTTGGTGTTTCCAGTGTGTTGAATTCTTTGCTAATAAAGGGTTTTTCATTCTTCGTTTTTTTTTTTCTGTTGTTTTGAACTGTGTTGTTATTTTTTATTATTTTTTATTTTTTATGTTGATGGGTTTGTAAGAATTGAGGGGTTTTCAGTGTGGGGATGGTTTTATGAAATTGTATAGGAGGGCTTATAGCTTTGTCTTTGTGCCCTTAGTTCTGTCTTTCCTTGGTGGGTTTTGATTGGGAAAAATGGGGTGTGTATGCTGGAAGTCCTCATCAGCGCTTGATGACAGCCCAAAACAGAGAGAATTAATTCGAAAAACATCCGAATTGCGCGAAGCCCGAGCGATTTGCCGGAAGAGGAATGAGAGCTTTTCAGCTGAGGTGAAGCTGGAGGAGAATGGGGATATCAAAACCGGGTCGATTGATAGGGGAAGTAATGTGTCTAGAAGGGTGAGGGACGATTTTTGCAACAAGAAACCAGAGAAAGATTTTGATGACGCCAGCAATTCCCCGAGCATTGGGAACCTTCCGAGAGCCGTGGAAGGGGAACAGGTTGCTGCCGGGTGGCCGTCTTGGCTGGTTGCGGTGGCAGGGGAAGCTATCAGAGGGTGGGTCCCGCGGAAAGCGGAGACTTTTGAGAAGCTCGATAAGGTACTTTTCTGGTCAAATCATTGTGGAAATTTTCTTGATTAGTTTGTGGGTGTGTCATGATCAAAGTAAAACATGTGGACTTGATGTTTGTTAATGACTTTTCATGTCATTATATGTTAATATGCTCTGATCTGCTTGTGTATAAGTTTAGTTTCTTCTGAACATCAACAACAAGAAAGAAAGTATTCTGGATTTTAGATGATTTTGCAATCATATATGCTGGTGTGTATAATAATGTTTTTGCCTGAAGAACTATATCATTAACCGGACGTATTATATGTTAATAAATGTGTCTTCATTTCGTAAATGAGCTTAGATTTTACATTTTCGACACGTTTTTTTGACACGTATCATCTCTCTATATTAATTGCATTTGTCGTGAAGCTCAACCACTTTCTTTTAATGCGTGATCTCTGAGCGCGGAAAGTTTATATTTTTGCCGAGCTGAGAACAAACAACACCACTACTCCTGGTTACATTTTGATTTCCTTTCAATTGGGGCTTATAGTTAGAACAACTGTTTACAATCTATTTCACTACGACTACTTTTTCAATATTTCTTTCTAGTTTTCTTGTTGGTTCGTCCTCATCATTTCTTTCTTTGACGTTTTTATGAGGCTAAAGGTTTGGCAGGGGCTCTTACAGAATCTGTTTATTAAACGGGAGAGAGAAATTATGCGCGAAATAGTCTTGTGGGAACCATGTTCTGTGTCCTCTTTTTGGTCTATCCTATTTAATAGTTTAAATTTTAGAAAAATAAATTTTGACATGGCGTTTTGTGTAGCTTTTTACTGTCTATGCAGTATCCTAATATGATTCGTTTTTCGGTTCTTGTGTGATAGCATTTAATTGTTGCAGATTGGCCAAGGAACTTACAGTAGCGTGTACAAGGGTCGTGATCTTTTGCACAACAAAATTGTTGCCCTAAAAAAAGTTCGTTTTGATAATATGGACGCAGAAAGTGTTAAGTTTATGGCGAGGGAGATTCTCATTTTGCGAAGGCTCGATCACCCAAATGTCATTAAACTAGAAGGCTTAGTTACCTCAACAACATCTTGTAGTCTATATCTTGTGTTCGAGTATATGGAACATGATCTGACTGGACTCGCGTCACTTCCTGGTGTCAAATTCACCGAACCACAGGTGGGTTTTTTACTCGGCCTTTGCAGTTTTTTTTTTTTTTTTTTTTTTTTTTTTTTTTTTTTTTTTTAAAAAAAAAAAATCTAGATAATAACTTATTTTTCTCTCTATATTTTTAGCTTAAGTGTTATATGCAGCAGCTGCTAAGTGGGCTCGATCATTGCCACAGTAATGGCATCCTGCATCGTGATATAAAGGGCTCAAACCTGTTAATCAACAATCATGGAATTTTAAAGATTGCGGACTTTGGTTTAGCGAGTTATTTTGATAATAACCAGAAATTTCCGTTGACTAGCCGTGTTGTGACTTTGTGGTATCGGCCGCCTGAACTTTTACTTGGTTCGACTCAGTACGGTGTTGCTGTTGATTTGTGGAGCACCGGCTGTATACTTGGAGAATTATATGCTGGAAAGCCCATCATGCCTGGAAGAACGGAGGTAGTACTATTATAATCTATTTGTTAATCGTGCAATTTCTTTATGCAATGATTTGAATAAAATTATTTTGTACCATGAAAAGGTTGAGCAGTTGCATAAGATATTTAAATTGTGTGGCTCACCATCCGAAGATTATTGGAGAACGTCAAAATTACCTCATTCGCCAGTGTTTAAGCCCATTCAGCCATATAGACGGCAGATTGCTGAGACATTTAAGGATTTTCCGGAAAGTGCCACGAGACTCATGGAGACCTTACTCTCTATTGACCCTTCCGAACGGGGAACAGCATCTTTTGCCCTTCAGAGTGAGGTATTCTCTGCCCGTATGTATGTGTGCGTGATAATGGATGACAAATGCAACTGAACAATTTGTATGAAATTTTTATCATTTAAAACTATTCTCGACTTCTTGTTTTAGCTTATGCTTGAATCTACTATGTTTTTTCATCCTTGGGGTGTTTATTTGCTCAAATAGGATTTGATATTTTTCAAATATACTATAAACTCCATGCTGTAGTTGTCTGACAATTTTAAATTTATACAACGAAAGAGCTTCACTTGATTTTGGTATGGGCAGAGTATTTGTTACTGAGTCTTTTCTTTCATAAAGTTCTTCAAGACAGAACCGTTTGCTTGTGACCCTTCAAGTTTGCCAAAATATCCTCCAAGCAAAGAGATCGATGCAAAACTGCGAGAAGATGAAGCGCGAAGGTGAATTTTCGCTGTAACTTTCTTAGTATAAGCAATTACGCTAAGAATATTTCAAGATTTTGTTACCAGCCTAGCATTCGAGTTTTTCTTTACAACTTTTAATTTATATTGCATTGCCTTTATTTTTTTTCTGAACTTCTGTTAACATCAGTTGCTTTCAAGGTGTTTGACATTGTCTTTCGAACAAAAATTTTACAGGAAAGGAGCTGTTGGAGTTAGAGGGCACAAATGCGAGTACGATTCTAAAAGACCAAAAGAATCTCGAAGTGCTGCAGCTAATGCTGACTTGGCTAGGTCGATGCAGGTATATACATTAAGATTGGTTGGTCTTTCGATATAGAGACACTTCCTATACGACTAGAAGAAAATAAAGGAAAAAAAAAGCTCTAATTCAAGCTAAAAAGCTAAATCTGATTATGTTTAAGCTTGTATTTCAGAGGAGCGATGTGAACCTTCAAAAACACAGAGCTTGTCCTGGTTCAAACAAAATACAGAGTAGGGCTTTTTCATCCGTGGAGTCACGGGAGAAAATAGCCTCGTCGTGTGTGGGGCCCACGAACCAAGCTGTCAGGCTTTCAGAGTCGTTTGGGGATCCCATGAGGAAGCAAATGTTATGTGGCTCTCAAAATGCGGAGAAAATGGGAAAACAAGAACCTGATTGCATGGTGAGTTTTAAGTGATATGAGATTTTGGTATTTCACTTTTTTGGGCCATTTATGGATGAAAAATGAAAACTAACCAGTTTTGTGGAAAGATGACAATTGACATATATAACCAACCATTTTTTTCCATTAAAGTTGCTATTTTTCATTTTAAAGAAAATGCTCATTTTTTTTTTTTTATTATTTTTTTTAATCTTTTCATGTTTTAGATGATTTGTAATTCTTAAACCCACATTTTTTCCTCTCTTTTGTCTCTAAGGAGAGGTCGAGCCACTTTTCCGGTCCTTTAATTGCTACCTCAAACAACATAGAACAGGTGCTGAAAGAGCACGATCGTCGGATTAAGGAAGCTGCTCGGCGCATAAGGCACGAGAACACGAGAGTTTGTAGAATTCGACCTCAGTAGGAGTGCGTGCAGACGTCTACAAAGTGTACGTGTCTCGGATTACTATAACTGTTTGAACACATAAAATATACAGATATAAACAGTCTTCATACATATATATATACATATATATATATATATATATATAAATATTATAGACTTGTATATAAATTATATTGTGTATAGATATTTTTCGGCGACCACAGATGTTCGTAATTTTTGAGTGATTGCTTATGTGTTAACTGGGAAAAAGAGTGTCAATAGGTCTTACATCACTTTGCCATTTTAAAGTATAAGAGTTTACCCGCTTAACTGTTAAACCACAGACTGTCTAAGCAAAATGTTATAGAAACAGGAGACATTGCACCATATATATATATGAGTAAAAACTGAAACTTGAGGCAACTTAAATTAAAACCATGAACTACAAAGGGAATGCAAAATCATAAATTAAAACACGAGATGATGAAAGAAAAACCAAACGAACCCAAATGATGCATGCAGAAATAATGAAAAATTGCCCCAAGACCAAAATCTGAGAATCTGATTTAATACCCAAAAAGAAAGATAGGACGCAGCCCAAAGTGCAGACCACGGTGCCCGTGGTGGGGATGCTCTGTGACGGGCTCTGGTGCACCATAACTCTTCTTGGGAGATTCTGCTTCTTGTGACGGAGAATGAGTTGGTGACTCGACTGGTTTTCCTGCAGCCGGAGATGGTGACGGGGTACGAGATGGCTGCTCATGTGCTGGAGCTTTAGCCGCCGGAGGTGTGGACCGGGAACGAGATGGTGGCTCGACTGGCGAGGTTCTTGTGGGGTTTATTCTGGCAGCCGGAGATGGTGACGGAGAACGAGAGGGTGGCTCGACTGGCGAGATTCGTGTGGGGTTTATTCCGGTAGCCGGAGATGGTGACGGAGAACGAGATGGTGGCTCAACTGGCGAGATTCGTGTGGGGTTTATTCCAGCAGCCGGAGATGGTGACGGAGAACGAGATGGTGGCTCGACCGGCGAGATTCGTGTGGGGTTTATTCCAGCAGCCGGAGATGGTGACGGAGAACGAGATGGTGGCTTGACTGGTGAGATTCGTGTGGTGTTTATTCCCACAGCTGGAGATTGTGACGGAGAACGAGATGGTGGCTTGCTTGCCGGAGATGGGGTTTTGCCGGCTGTCGGAGATGGTGACGGGGAACGAGATGGCGGCTCGACCGTTGGTGCATGGGCCGTGGGTCCCGCTTCCGGCGAGGTGGTCGGAAAATGATGATTCTTGGAAAGTACTATGACTTCGAGCTTTTGCCCTTTCTCGCAATTTTGGTCGTGTCCACTTATGAAGTAGAATGGACCCGATTTTTTGAACTTGAATACCGAGTGGCCGCCCTTGAAGGTCCTTATCGGGTTCTCTTTGTTGCATTTGGTGTAGTCGTTTCGGTTCACGACGAGGACCGTGTCGTGCCCTTGCTTGTACTTGAAAACTGCCAAAAAAAAAAAAAAAACGACACGATCAAAATGTCAGCTATCGAATATTAATAAATGAGACGAGCGATAATATTAATATCGAACGAACCAAGCTGATCGTTGATCTCAAAACGATATTTTTCGGCCCAAAGGGTGTAATTGTGGGAGGGATGAAGGGTCCAGCCATCTTCGCCGCCAACATCGAATGTATGAGCCTTTGATGATGAGCAGAAAAACCCAGTTATGATCAATATTGCTAACACCAATTCCATTGTAGAATGAGTTTCGGACATTGGAGTTTTTACTGTTGTAAGAAAAATGTGTGAGGTCTGAAAGTTTGGGAGTGAGTGATGATGTGAGGACAATATGACACTACGTATTTATATGGACATGTTAGGGTTAAATGAGGAAAAAGAGGTTTTTGGATTAATTAAGATAATAAAAATGGGGTTTTAATGAGTTTTGAATATTACATGACCTTCAGCCTTCGGCTTTTACTTTGGAAACCTTCAAATTTATGCAGTCAATGAGTCATACTTTTTTTACGTTGTACAAAGAATTTATTATGTTTATGTGACGTTCAACCTTATGGTTTATGTGCAGTTGTGTAACCATTTTCATGTGTATTCTTCTTAACTTGTTTTGCTGTGAAGCGAATTAGTTATTTATAAATATTGTATTGACACGTGTCTTGCAATAAAAGTATTGTCCTTAAAATACAGCTTAAATGTTCAATCAACATTAATACCTACTAGAAGATATTTTTTTTTTTCGCAAATAAATAAATGATATTCTCAATTGATAATTAAATGGTAATTGGTAAGGTCAAGGTATTAGTTTAGTCCCAGGAGAGCTGATAAATGAAACGATCCGTTGGTCACCTCATTTCATTTAGGTTTGTTAAGGCTCTAAAATAGAAAGGATTATATACTTTTTTTATCATTCGACTCGTTAAGATTCAAGTTCAACTCGTTTAAGCTCGGGTTCAACTTTTTAATATAGATAAATATGCATACTTTGAGCTCGTTTAAATAAAGACTCAAGTTCGAACTCAAATATCAAGAGTTCGAGCTTGAATTTACGCCCTTGGTCTTACAAGATGTGATGCCAATTGGTAACTGCTAAATTGTAACTTGAATGAAGTCAAAGTTGGTCGAATGTGACATCAAAGCCCCATAATGCAAATTAATACATCGAGCACCATGTAATAAGGTCCAAGAGAAAACTAAATAGGCCAAATCATAATAAATTGCCAAGTTAATAGGCATGTTTGTTAGCATCCAAATTACTATTGCGTCTTGAAAGTAGAGCAAATTTATTTTCTAATGTAATATTATACTCCTCCATCCCAAATCTTATGCATTTTTGGATTTTGGCGTGGGAATTAAGGCAAAATATTTAAATCCCACTTTGGATACAACATGATTAATTTATATTGATGAAATTTGGGCAAATAAACAATAAAAAAAGGACAGGGTTCTCCACAAGAACCGCGTACATGGCGCTCTCACATTCCGGTAGCCACCCCGACCAATCCCTTTGGAAAATTATTTGCGTGCGGCGGCGCCGCAACGAACCCGTCATTTCTTGTGGCTCGCCGCCAAAGGTCGTTTGCTTACAAACCTAGTGTGAGTTCGGCGACATTTGTCCGTTTCCGATAGTTGCGATTTTTGTGGAATGAGTGAATTTGTTTTGCATGTTCTCCGAGACTGCCCAACTGGCAGGACCGTATGGGACAGGCTCCAACCGACTGGCTACGTTCGTGATTTTTTCCAACTGCCCCTTCGAGCTTGGTTGAGAAGGAACTTAGTGAGTGCTCGGACTGACCAAGTCGATAACTGAGGGACTAACTTTTTGGTTGCTGCGTGGAAAGCCTGGGGATGGCGGAATGATCGAATTTTTGCCCAACGAGTCCTTAGCTGCAAGGCGCGGTGCTCGAAAATTCTCCGATTGGCTGACAGTTACAGTTGCACAGAGCCGACACACGCGCAGGTGGGAGCTACCCTTCATGTCACTTGCATGATACGATGGACTCCGCCGGAGTCAGGATGGATAAAGCTTAATACTGATGGAGCTATTGATATCTCCACGGGCCTTAATGGTGCCGGTGGCCTTCCTCGCGACGAAAGATGAACTTGGATCGAAGGTTTTACCATGCATATTGGGTATTGCACTATCACGGGGGTTGAGTTGTGGAGATTTTTTGCAAGGCTTACAGTTGGCTTGGGGTTCGGGGTTTTGTCAGGTCATTGCCGAGGTGGATAGCAAATGCGCTACCCAGCTGGCCTTGGGTACTGTGGACATTCTTGGGACCCATGCAACGATTGTCTTAGCCATTCGTAGTTTGGTGCTGCGAGATTGGAGTGTTAGAATACGACATGTGCATGGGAGGCTAACTTCGCAGCTGATCATTTGACGAGTTTGGTAATTTCTTTCCCGGTCGATTTGCAGTGGCTCTCCTCACCACCCGTCAAAATGAGCACCTGGCTTGACCATGACATTATAAAGGTGTCTTATCCCCGCCAGGTCCAAGCTTAACTTCTTCTTTCTTAGGCTGTCGGCCTCTTTTATTATACCCAAAAAAAAGAACACAAAAGTAAATAATTGTTTATCTTAGCAATCTAAAAGCCTGTCTCTACATTTATATGTAGACATTTCCAAACATTTGTGTCAATTTTTTGTACTTAGTACTCCTATGTGTGTCCTGTACTCTTATGTGTCAGTTTCTGTTGCTTGATAATATGATATGTCAATTTATAGTGTTTCGAGTAGTTCATACATGCTCAAACTTTTACTTATGAGTGAGTATTATAAAAATAAAAAATACTTGACCAACTTAAATTATGTATATATTAATTTGAAAGTTAACAACTTTTATATTTGTTATCATATTTCATATATAATGAATCATTTGATGAACTTCAATTTGACATTCATGTATAAACTTTGTATGAAAACTAAATTATCCACCAATATGAATTAAAAAATAGTGCAATTATGTGCTATTTAAATAAACATATTTATTAAGTCGATTGTATAATGTTAATTAAAAAATATTATAATATAAGAGGGACAAGTTAAAAAATAAGTAAACAAGTCGTGCCACGATCTCTAGTACAATCTCAACTCTTTATCATGCTGAGACGAGCTCGTCAACTAATCGGACTAATAAACGAGCTCAAGCTAAGTTTGTTTATCAAAATTAACAAGCACCATAATAAATTAAGTTTAAGCTTTAACACGCCGAACTAAGATAGTAGTTTAAAAAATTATCTAAACGAGTTTTAACTAGTCTGAGACGAGCTTTGATCATTAACTAAACTAGCTCGAGCTTGGTTAATTTATCTAGCCAAGACAAAGTTTGATCGTGAACTAAACTAGCTCGAGATTGGCTAGTTTATCTAGTCAAATTCAACCCTTAAAAAGTCAAGCAATTCTCGAGTCTTAACGAGCTGATCGATTCCTTTATCGGCTTTACTAAGTTGTTCTTTTCTAAATAGGAAGAACTGAAGATAATATATTTTTTTTTTTTTTTTT